TAAAACTCTAAATACTTAACCCAGAAATTATACTTTGTCTCTAAAATATATTTGATCGATAAACCTTCAGAAGCTCTTCATAAATTGAATCATAAAAATCTTAAAGCTAAATCCCTTGTTAATCTTGCGTTAATACTAATTTTCAGTCGTTAGTATCGTAAGATAACACTATTATTACTGAAAATGCTCATTCAATAAAAATGAGAGCTTATTCAACATTGCTAAAAGAGAAAGAATGGATCACCATTAAAATCGATGAAATGATACAACAAGGAGTAATATAACGATCTAGTAGTTCTTAGTCAGCACCAATAGTTTTATTTAAAAAAAAAATAGCAAATAAGAATGTGTGTAAATTATAAGGATCTTAAAAGTATTACCAAAACAGATAATTACTCTCTTTCTAGAATTGATGAATTACTGGACTCATTACAAGGATCACGTTAGTTCAGTTCATTAGATTTGTTTTCAGGATTTTGGCAAATTAAAATAAGATCAGAATATGTTGAAAAGACAGCTTTCATCACCAGTGAAGGTTTATATGAATTTGTCGTAATGCCCTTTGAATTATATAATATACCTGCAACTTTTTAGCGAACTATGAATACAATATTTCAAAAGAAGAAGCGACATTTTATCAAAGTCTATATGGATGATCTTAATATCCATTCCAAAACTTTTGAAGAACATTTATAACATCTACAAATTACTTTTGACAGAATTAGAGATGCCAATTTAAGAATTAAACCTGACAAATGTCACTTTTGTTCTTAGGAGATCAAATTTTTAGGACATGTTGTTAATAAACAGAGTATACAACCTGACCTATCAAAAATAACAAAAGTTGCTAATTATTCAGTACTAAGAAATCTTATAGAATTGCATGCCTTTCTTGATTTAGCTTCATATTATAGAAGATTTATAAAGAACTTTTCAAAAATATCATCACTGCTTTATAAATTAATAGAAAAGAAAACTTTTATATCAATAGTCAGATGAATGTCAACGAATATTTGATGTATTAAAAGAAAAATTGACAATAGCATCAATTCTTATTTACCCTGATTTTGACTAACCTTTTACTTTATACACTGACACTTCTCAAATTAGATTAGAAGTGATATTGTCTCAAAAAGAAGACAATGAAAAAGAACATGTTATTGTTTATGCAAGCAGATCTTTAAGCTCAGCAGAAAAGAATTATAGCACAACAGAACAAGAATGTTTAGCTATAGTCTGGGCAGTAAAATACTTTAAACATTATATATTTAGAAGTAAATTTACAATTGTCACTGATCATTCTGTATTACAATAGCTACTAAATTCTGATTCTAAGGTTACTGAAAATAAATGAATCATGAGATGGAGACTTACAAGAATATTCCTATAAAGTAAAATACAGAAAAGGAAAAAATCATGAGAATGCTGATACCTTATCACAGATTAATCCTAATAGTTTCAATTCAACCAATATGATTATGCCACTATTTTCAACATTTTATATTTTCAATAATAGATAATAAATTATATGAAAATTTGATGTAATACCTCACAACTCTCACATATCCTTTAATTTGGACGACTCTCAACAGATTAAATTACAAAAGATTTCAACCCAATACTTGATAAAAAATAATTTAATATATAAGCGAATTAGAGATATAGATAAAAGAGTAATTCTATGAACAAGTGGAAATTATTTTTTATAATCTTCATAAAGACATAACGAGTGTTCATTTAAGAAATGATGCTACTTTTGAAAGCCAAAAGAGTGATATTACTGGCTACAAATATACGAAGATGTTAGAAAATATATACAAAAATGTAATAATTGTCAAAAACATGAATCATCTAAAAGAAAAGAGCTCTTATAACCAATCAAAGTTAAAGCTCCTTTTCATAGAGTTGGAATTAATATAAAAGGACCTTTACCTAGAACTTCATAAGGTAATCGTTACATAATCATTGCTATAGATTATTTCATAAAATGATCTGAAGTAAAACCAATACCTGATATCAAATCAGAAATTGTTGCAAAGTTTATATTTGATGAAATTATTTGCAGACACAGTGTTTCAGAAGAACTTCTATCTGATAAGGGATCTTCTTTTTTAAATAAAGTAATAAATGCACTATTTAATAAATTTCAAACAAAATACTGGCTTACTTCTACATATAGATCTCAAACAAATGGTATAGTTGAAAGATTCAATTGTACAATTAGTGAATGGTTAGCCAAACTAATTGTAAACAAAGAAAAAGAATGAGACGAATATGTAGAATCAGCTTTATTTGCTTATTAGAACAATAAAACATAATACAACTGGCTATATACCATTTTGCCTATTATATGAATGACAAGTAATATTATCTATTGAATTAAAAATTCCAATAGAATTAAGTAATGATAAAAATATTAAGAATGTATTAATGAAAAGATTATTTAAGATAATCAACCAATTAGAAAATGATCGATAAATTGCACTTAATCAAATCAAGGAGGATCAATGAAAACAGAAGAATCAATATGATATTAGTACAACAGCTGAACAATTTAAAATTGAGATAAAGTATTAGTGAAACGCATATGGTTGAAAAATAATTTCTCAGCTAAATTAGAGAAACGTTGGATGAGACCATATTTTGTACATAATGTACAAAGCAAAAATTATAAATTAAGAAATATAGATGGAAGATTGATCAAGGATTTTGTATATAGTGATCGACTTAAAATGTATTACGAAAATATTTTGAAATCTAGAATATATATATAGGACCATTTTCTTGATCTAAAAAGATTCAAACAAAAATGTCATCACCATTCGATCTTATCAATCTTGATATTCTTGAAATTGAATCACAAAATATCCTTACAATCTCACCTCCATATTTTGACTCAGATTCAATTGAGTTCAAATTGAAATCAGTTTATAGACAGATGATCAGATCTGCTAAATTACACCAACGTATCCCTACCTTAACCTATGCATATTACCCAAGTATGATAATTAACACATGCAATATTCCTAAAATTTTAATTAAACAAAATATAACTCCATACTATAGAAGAGCAGCTGAAAGAACTTATTTCATTTTTGAAGACAATTTACAACAAATTTATTATATAAAATTCACCACTTTATTTCTAATTAAACAATTAAAAACAGTTGAATACCAAACATTATGTTAACCATTTTAATTCATAGTACTCATTTCTTAAAAAAGAAAATAATAATGTGGCATAATCCAAATTTTAATTTTAATATTTATTTTATTTTTATTTTTTTATTTTATCTTATTTTATTAAAATTTATTAATAGGCAAAAGTGCGATAATACGTGAGAATTTTATTGAATATTTAAAAATTACAAAGAAAATTTGAAGAAAACAAAGAAGATAAAATAGACATATAAAGAAACTATTTAAAAAACTATATTAACAACAAAAGGAAAAACAAAATATTTTGCTATAAAAGAGAGGAAAGGTAGCATAATCTCATGAACGGCTGAAGCATACAACAAGCATAATTCAAGGATGGCCGAAACTTATGACATCCCTCTTGAGTAAAATTTAATAATATTTAATCGTGAAAATGAACGTTAAAAGGAAAATTAAATTCCTTACTACGGTCCTGTAGTTACACTAGAGAAATGTTAAAATTCCTTTGGAGTCTATCCGCATCTCTTACTAGAACTTGAACTCTTTTTACCGTTTCCAGGTCTTGAAGGCGATTAACCTCTGATTATGAATAGTTAAACCAAATTGGAGACTATCATATTCTGTTCTAAGTGTTCAATATCTAACTTGATACCTATTATTAGATGAAGAAAAATCGTTTAGTTTGGTATTTAAAGTACCAAGTTCCTGTCTAAGCTGATGGATTTCTATTTCTAAATAATCAATTATCTGTCGTCAGTCCTCTTCCTATCATGAACGAAGGCTGGCTTGTCAATGGTTGAAATGTCGTTAACGTTGAGATTTTTCTATTTTAAATTTTTGCAATAATTTTCATAGACTAAAAATTATAAGGAAATTAGAAGAGATTTTTGGTAAAATATTTATAATGAAAAAGAAGTAGCTGTGCAGATTCTCAAGATCGTGAGAATTCCTTTCCTGCAGAAAAATAAACAAATAACTATTGGCTTACATTTGTTGTTGATCATCATATGATTACTACTAGGTTGAAAACCTGTTTGAATTGGAAATAGCGCAATTGATCAACAAAATTAATAATTTCATGGAATGATTTCAAATGATTTGGAAACTTTATTATTAGAAATCCGTGAACAAGGAAATCAATAATAAGGAAAACAACACGTTGAAATTCATTGGATAATATTCGACAGAGCTTATTCTTTAAGAAGGGGAATGTTAAATGAAATAACTTTCAACCTAATGATTACATTTCAATAGAAATATGATCATTAGAACCGTCTCATTGAGAGCTTTCCAACGAATATAAATACAAGGTCCAAACCCTGCGTATAATCTAATTAATGTGATATCTGAGCTTGGATTGAGTTTGGCAAATTGATTCATTAAAGTATTCAACATCTTCATAACCTTCATACGATCACCACTGTAGTGTGTCCAACCATTTTTCGTTGGAGGTCCACTGACTTCGGTTACTGAGATCTATTTATCTTCTTCTCTCATACTAATGATTGTATCAATCTTTTTTCCTGAGGTTCGGCGTTCATCATCCTTTTTATTAGAATTAATATCTATTGCACATGCTTCGAGGCAGGTTTCTCCATATGCAACAAGCCAATCTCTTTTCTTTTTGTTAAAGAAGTAACCAAGAATGGGTGCTAGAACGTTTACAATATAGGTTCCCTCAGACATAGAATCATTAAACAAATTCACATCATCAATTAATTCTACCCTATATAAGGATAGTTTCATTAGTGTTATTACACTTCTCGAAACATAAAATAGTCAAATAAATATACTTACATATGGTTCACAAAATGTAACGCAAACCCCTTTTCAAATGAACCAATTTCTTCAGCAATTTGATTAAGATTTTCTTTGGTCTTCTTAATATCGCGATCAATAATACTTTTTAGAAATAACTTAATCTCTCAGTTCATATTATTTGTGTCTATTTCCGGCCTCCTTATTTCCTTACGCATTTGTGCAACAATTCCTTTATCTAAGTTCCTAGGCAACTGCTTTCATCTTTTAAATTGAAAAAAATAATATCGTAATACTCTGGATTTACATCAAGCTGATATTTTGTCAACTTTTCTCTGATATTAATTCCGTTAATAATCCAGCCAATGCTTTTTCCACCGACAACAGTTAAATTTGCATAAATTCATCATTCTCTTCGTCCGTATCATGGTCATCCCGATTTCCAACTAGAAAAGGTTTTGGTTCAGGTCGCTTACGAACGTGAACCGGAAAAGTATCATAAAGAGAACTCTCTTTTTCTTCTTCATCTTCCGGCGTAATATGTCGTTCTGGAGTATGTGCCTGTTCATGTTGGGAACGTGGAATGACATCATGAGGGAAACATTCTTCAATTCTTATCTGTTTCATTTTTGTCTGTTCTCTTTGGTCACTCTAAGTATTAAAATACAAAATGGTCAGTTCTACTGATTCTCAATATTAGTTAAAAAAAAATAAACGTATACCTTTTCCCGATCTCTTTTTTTCGAAATAAACATATTATCAGTTCCACCATTAATCGTCCCGCCATAGATAGATCCACTTTCTAAAATTGTTGGGTTTTGAATGTTAATCGAAGGCACGTCACTCATTTTTGTTTTCTCCCAATTTTTAGCAACTTTTTGATCGCCCTTAAAATGAAAGATTAGAGAATTAGTTCTCAATACATTTTTACAATTTATCATCTAACAAATTTCACATCCTATCAGGTCAACGAAAAGTCTTAAACACAGGCAAACGAGAAGATCCTGGCGTTGATTTTGTAGCAAGAAGCAAGAAGAATTCTGGCCACGCTACTTATGTCCTATTCATATTTTAAGAAAAAAAATCCTGACTTGCCTTCGCATACGCGTCAAGAAGTGTGCGTGCTCTTGATTTTCTTTTTCCTTCAGGTTCAAAGATAATAATGTTTCGAAGAGATTTAATATATGAATCAACTTTCTTTTACTTTAAAAATTCGAGAACAGCCTATTCAGAAGCTTTTCGATTAAAAAATTCATATACAGTCGCGTCACAAAGTGACGCCCGATTTGAAATTACAACCAAATGTCACATTATTTATTGATTTATTTCAATTT